GACACACAGAGGGAGTGGGGTCTCAACAAAGGGAAGGCGATGATACCATGGCCCCGGGCAGCTGTGGCCTGGGGCAGAGGTTATTGTCCCTGTTAAGTTCCCTGCCTGCAGACCCGCTTAGATGGGTAACACACCAGCCAGTCCCATTGTCTTACCCATTGGGCGGAGCCAAGAGATGAGCTGCTCTTTTCCTTCTCAGAGTTGGCAGGAACTGGAAATAATTGGAAGTTGTTAGAGGCCTCACACACTGCCCTGAAAACACTATCATTACTCTCCTAATGACTAACTGTGTCTTCCAGGAGGAGATGCAGGCAGCTGAGAGGCCACAGCCTCCTGCGGAGGAAAAAGGGGCAGGCTGGCAGCTTGCAACCTAGGGGCAGGAGAGCTCTGCCCAGAGCCCAGCCAGCTCTGAACTCCAGAGCCACGCCCCCAGGGTCCCTGAAGCCCTCTGCCCACAGCAGGGCCATGTGGTCTGACCCCAGTGCTGTGGGAGGTTCTGCCTTCATCCCTTCCTGCTCGCTTCCTGGCAAGGTTCCGGTCCATCTCCCAGCATGGCATTCTTCCACCAGGCTCCCTGCCCTGCACCCTGCTCCCCAAGCACAGAGCTGGCTTTGTGCTTCTGCTAGAGCCCCATCTGCTGCCCTCCAGGTGCCCTGGATGGAAGCTCACAGACCTGCCCACCACACCTTCCTTGTAGCCTCTGGGGAAGAGCTCCCTTATACCTCTTCTCATCCCACCCAGGCTCTTTCTTTTCTAAGGCTGAATGACACAGGTGACATTTGAAGGCCCTTGAGAATGCACCCCTTCCTGACCCATCCCAGTGACTGCTGCCTGATCTCACATGCAGCCTAGCTCTTTCTCCCTGCTGGTGGACACCCGGGCACTGGTCCCCGTGCCCTGCCAGAGGGGTGTTATGTACTTCATGGGGACAGTGAAGAGGCTCCAGGCTTATGGAGACCTAACAGTGACCTGCAGGCTCTGACTGGCAGCCGTGGGTAGGCTTTCAGGGGTCCACTTAGGCCTCAAGGGAGGAGGGAGTAGAGAGGGCCCCGCTACCTGAAAGGCGCATGAGTGCTGCTGGGTTATGGCACCAGAGTGAACTCCTGGTAGGTGTATCTGGGTCTCAGGGCGGGTTGGGAGATGTGTGGGCTCAGCCTGAATCGCACCTGCAGCCTGCCTCTGTTCCCTGCTCACCTGGCCACAAAGGAGCAGAGGTGGCTTTTACCAGACTCCCATAGAGGTGCCTGGCACCGCCTCCTGTCAGGTCTAGGGAGCCCTGCAAACTGGGTCTCCTTGGGGCCACCTGTGGAACACTCAGCCCACAAGACAGGCTGTGGTGCTGAGTCCCCACCGTCCTGCAGATGTCTAGTGGCCTGGTTTGGACCCTGGTTCAAGGCTTTAGGAAGCTAGCAAAGTTGACTTAGGGCCCCTACTGCCGGCAGTGATGTGACCTGGCTCACGGACTTTGGTGCTGCGCATCTAGCCTTACAGAGAACAGGCTACAATCACAGATGAGACGTGGAGAGCTGGATGGAAACGACCGGAGTAAGAGCAGAGCAAAGGACCTCGCCGGAAAGGAAACAAAGGGTAATGAATCAGAAACAACCAAGACATTCTGTCCCCAGAGGACAGCCTCGGCGGCAGCCTTCGCCCGGAATCGCCACTCTCCCCCGGTCACCGGAGGACGGCAACACCGGGAGCGGGCCGGTGCACAGAGAACAGGGGCACCCAAGCAGCAGGGCAGGGCGGGGTGGGTGTGGGCTCACCGAACGGGGACGCCTGCCCCGCCCCCATCGGCCCCACCCGGTCCGGGACCCCGCCCTTCCAGGCCAGCCCCACCCCTTTTCCTGCCCTGTCCCCGCCCCACCTAGTTTCTGCCCACCCTAAGCGCGGCCCCGCCCGCATATCCCCGCCCCTCCGGCCGCGGCCCCGCCCTCGGCCCCGCCCCTGCACTTACGGCCGCGCCTCTAGCCGCGGGCCCGCCCGGGTTCTGGCCTTGCGCCAGCTAGCGACCCCGCCGACCGTCCCTCG